CTGACACGCAGCGCACCAAACGAGAGAGACAAAGGAAGCGACTTCAAGCGAGTGAGATCAAGCGTAAGAAAAGAAAAAACGAAGCGTGTTTTTATGTCTTCTCGTGTGTGTGTGTGTGTCAGCGTGTGTGTGTGTGTGTGTGTGTGTGTGTGTGTGTGCGTGTGTGTGTGTGCGTGTGTGTGTGTGTGCGTGTGCGCGCGTGTCTGCACATGCATGAGCGTGCACGTCATCCTGCAGAACTCTCCGGAAATCCTCTTACCTCTCGGAGCCTCGGCGGCTGCAGAGGGATTCCTCCCATCGCTCTGCTGGCAGCCGTCCCAGCCTCCCTCCTCCTCTCCTCGTCCTCCTTCCTTCTCCTTCAGCTCCAGCTCTGAGAAGCGCAGCATGGCACGCTGAGGAGGAAGAGCAGGGAGACGGCTGAAGAAGACCACGACAAGAGACACACAACAACCACACAGAGACACACAACAACCACACAGAGACACACAACAACCACAAAGAGACAAAAAACAACCACAAAGAGACACAACACCAACACAAAGAGACACAAAACACCCACAAAGAGAAACACAACAACCACAAAGAGACACACAACAACCACAAAGAGACACAAAACCACCACAAAGAGACACAACACCAACACAAAGAGACACAAAACCAACACAAAGAGACAAAAAACAACCACAAAGAGACACAAAACAGCCACAGAGACACAAAACAGCCACAGAGACAAAAAACAACCACAAATAGACACAAAACCAACACAAAGAGACAAAAAACAATCACAAAGAGACACAAAACAGCCACAAAGAGACACAAAACAACCACAGAGACACAAAACAACCACAAAGAGACACAAAACAACCACAAAGAGACACAAAACAACCACAAAGAGACACAAAACAACCACAGAGACACAAAACAACCACAAAGAGACACAACAACCACAAAGAGACACAAAACAACCACAAAGAGACACAAAACAACCACANACACACACACACACACACACACACACACACACACACACACACACACACACACACACACTGTGTCCCTGCTGAGTTTCCCAGCGAGCTCCAATCAGGACGATAATTGCAGCGATTAACGGAGACGAGAGCGACGACAAACAAGACAGAAAACACAGAACGGCTGCTGCAGGAAATCAGACCTCCGAGACGTGCTGGAGTTAGAACTGGACCGAGGGCAGTCCAGAATCAGTCCAGAACCGGTCTAAAACCAGTCTCAACCCAGTTTAAACCAGTCTAAACCCGGGCTAAACTGATCTAAACCCAGTCTATATTGGTTTAAACCCAGGTTAAACAGATCTAAACCCAGGTTAAACAGATCTAAACCCAGGTTAAACCGGTTTAAATCGGTCCAAAATGGTTCAGAACCACTCTGCAGGAGTAATCTAACTCAACTGACCTTCCCGTCTTCCTCGTCCGCCGCCATCTCTCCTCCCGTGTGCTTCGTCTTACAGTGACGTTTGCCCTTCGGCTTGTCGAGGTCGTTGTCATGGCAACGGAGGTGATGGCGGTCAGGTGGGGAGAATGAGGGAGGAAGAGGAGGCAGCGATGGGAGGAAGGTGGAGGCCCGGCGGATCTCCCTCAGCCTCTGGTGTTTGTCCTGCAGGCGGGACAACGCCAGGCAGCCGAAGGATGCTGCGACCGGTTGCCGTGGTAACGGTTGCCGCGGGACAGCACTGCTCGGTTGCTGCGGGAGGCGGGCAGGTGAGGAGGGCGGGGCGACGTGGAAAACTGAAAGAAAACAGAAACACAAATCAGCACAAAAGACGAACATTCGGTTGACATCCTGTTTATCTGGTAAAACCTTCACCATGCTAACATCCGCTAACAAGCAGTTTAACGCGGCAACACACTGAACACATGGTGGCGCTACCACCAACTTCATCCCACAGCCCCTGACGTAACAACGCTGGAACGGAAAAACAAACTGAGAAGGATCCTGCTGCTGCTGCTGTTCTTTGTCTGTTGGAGATTCATCACGTTCAGACTTCAGACTGAGAATTCAGACTTTTTAAAGTCTGACTTCCATTAAAATTTAATCCTCTTCGGTAGAGACACTTCTTTAACACTTCTCTTGTTTCTCTCTGCAGATGGACAAAGTTAATTTTCTTTTTTCTTCTTCTGTTCTGTTTTTTGCAGCTAGTGCAGCATATAGCGCCACCTTCTGGTGATGCTCCACAGCATCGTCTTTACAAAGGCAGACAGTTAGCTGGAAACAGTCGTGCTCAGCTGATGCCGTTTGGAGACAGACGTGATAAAATGTTCTGATGCTGACAAACCAACAATTTTTCTGGCCTGCTGAGTTCACAAGAAAACACAAAAGACAAAGAAACACACAAACTCTGCGTGGTTTCAATAAATAAAGTTACTGCAGGTAAAGAATCAGCTGATTGTGAGGAGGTTGGAGGGAACTTTGCTCAGATTTAGTTGGTTTTATATCAAATGAGTTCCTTCAAATGAGGCCTTCAGTGTGAATCTGGGGTTCCACAGGGTTCCAAACTGGGTCCTCTGGCAGACCCACAACACACAGACACATGAATGAAGAGAACAACCAGATTGTCTGAAATGACAAAACTTCGTCCAAAGCAGCAACAAGAACGTAGCCTTTAGCTAGCACAGTTGCATCACGTTAGCATCGAGCAGCCACGAGGCTAAAGCACAGGAAGACCGTCAGCAGCAGCTCTGATTTCACAATAAAAGCGCCACAAGACGGAACCGAGGCATCAGCACGACCGACGTTTATGACAGAAAATCTGCATCGAAGCACAAACTAGAGCTGCAACAACTATTCCATCAGCTGCAAAGAGCAGATGGTCGCCAGCCGTCCTGACAATCCACGACTCACTTTGAGGAATGTTCTTTAACCACGAAGGTCTGAATCATCGGATTGCAGTGACGGAAAACAATTCCACAGTCAAGAAAAATGAGACGCCCAGAAACGTTTTGGAGTTCAGATCATGTGAATATTTTTCAATTCAATTCAATTTTATTTGTATAGCGCATATTTACAACAACAAGTCATCTCATAGCGCTTCACAAAGGCAGAAACAGAAACACCCAACAATCCAAACATCTGGATTCTCTATAAGCTTCAGCAGTCTGCTGGTGGGAAGGAACCAAAAACCCCCACAGGGGAAAAAAAACCTCGGACAGAACCAGGCTCAGGGAGGGACGGCCATCTGCCTCCACCAGTTGGGTGAGAGTGGGATGAATTATACAATGTAGTTTACAGGTAAACAAGTTATTAGAATAGATTTTCTGGTTTCTTTCCTCCTCGATCAGAAAACTGAAGACTTTTGGACAAAACGAGACATTTCAAGAAACTCTGACCACGTTTTTCACCATTTAAAGATGTTTTAGAAAGAAACAGCTGATCGGTTGACTTTTTGGTTTTACCTCTGGTTCCGTCACACCAGCCTCCGTTCACCTCCGACTTTGAGTCGACTGGCGCCAACCTCTGGTTGGAGGGCAGCCATTGGCTGAGCTCTGCGGGGAGGCGGGGCTTGTTGAGTCGAAGGCCGTTCAGCTCGATACAAACCTTCAGCTTCTTCACGTCGTCCAGGGTGGAGTCTGTCAGCAGGAACAAACCAATGATTAAAGAGGGTTATGAGAAAACCAGTCATGGACTTATCAAGATTGAAGAATCTACAGCAATAAACGATTAGAAAACACACACTTTAAATACGATGAGCAAAGTTTTGTCAAGCAAGTCCAAGATTTTCTTGACAATAAATCCGTGATTTTATCATAATTCCCACAACAGGCTTCAAACCAGAACCTGCACAAAGAACTGCTGATGTCCAGAACTCTCACCGTTTAACTTGGTTTTCTTGTTGAGAGGTTCCGTCCGGTCCTCCTGGTCCTCCTGGTCCTCCTGGTCCTCCTGGTCCTCCTGGTCCTCCAAGTTCTCCTCCCGGCCTCTCTTCATGATGATGCTGCTCTGGTGAAATGGCTCCAGGCTGAAGATTCGCTGCCGGTTCATGGAAACATTCGGACTCTGAAACAGGCTTCGGGCAGCAGAAAGAAACTTCTGCGGTTCTGGTTGTGAGGAAGAACTGGTGTTCTGGTTCTTCTTCACCTGCTGAGATTCTTCACCATCGTTCTTCTGCACCTCCGCTGAGTCTTCCTGGTCTCCGAGGACGGGGAGGCGGCTGATAGTGCAGGACGCATGTAAACCTGCAGGAAAAAACGTTTATTAAAATCCAC